AGCCTGCACTATGTATGTGGTTATTATCATCACATATGATGTATTATCATTGATCCCTACCAAATCTTACTTACTTATTCAACTTATTCATTGGCAGAAAAGAAGGAGTGTCTAATGTTTGAAAAAGTTTGGACATTAGAGAGATTTCGCACGGCGTGAAAGTACAACTCATAACGTATACTTATACTTATAAGTATATGTACAAGGTGTTTCATAATGTGGGCTTTTCGTCAGGAAAGACCTTCTCGGACTGTAATAAATAAAGGTCAAAGGGATGCCAATTGCACTTTCTTGAATTGTAGCATGTTTAGCCTTTAGCGTGCTGCCGGCGGACTCGTCCGCCGAGACTAAAATGTCTCTCACAACTGCCGGCGGACCCGTACGCCCGATTTCAAACTTTTAAAAACTTTACTTTTTCGCGCCATTCGTATTGTCCAATTAGATTGCCCGATTTATTCAGTGCCTAACATGACTTCCTGTTGACCTAGAAATGGCGATATTTCGAAAAATAATTCTCAATTCAACAATTTAAACAGTGTTTTAGTCGTTTTTAGTGAACGAATCGTACAAAATGGTGGACAAATACGATCACAACGAAAATGTGGAGGAAATAGATTACGATTTCGAGCTCTTTAGGCTCTTGGAAGCCGATAACGGTCACCGAAAATAGAAAATAGAATATTTTCTGAATTGAAAAATTGAACATTCGATCGCTGCAAATTCAGATTTGGATTCTGACCAGACGAAGAGGCGGAGCGGCAGATTCCGGAGGAGTATTCATGGTATATTTATGCCCAGTCGTGTTAATGTACGAAAAAATTCATGAGAACATTTTTTTTCATGAGCTAGGCCACTGTATCTTCCCTTTGTGAAAATTTTATCCAGATTCATTCAGTAGTTATTGAGATATTAATTATTTAGTCCAGGCATATCATTTTTTGCACTCTTTGAAAAATAAGCCAGTTGCGTGGGATATATTTGCTGAAATAAGGCAGCATGGTAAAGGTTAGTTGATCCAAATATGTTTGTCTAGAATAAAATAGGCTCATATATAGTACATATGTTATAGACCCATCTCTTCTCAAATTGACTTTTTTGGAGATGCGCGTTATGAAACACCCTGTATGTCATTTGTTGAGCTACTGAATGGGTCGTTTCCAGGAATTACTAGAACCTACAGGTTTGATTGGTGTTTCAAATTGATGGTTAAAGTATTTGATTGGATACTGTTCCTACTCAGTCAATTAATTTTAAAAAATGCTTGCGGTCAATTGTTCTATACACATGTAGGTAAAGCTTAATAAGGAGATCCAACTTTATACGTTTATCATCTATATACCGTTTTGTAAGTTCATTGAACTTATACTGATCATGAAAACTTTGAAATAATCAACTTGTTTATGTAATGACTCACTTTAAAGGATCATGACTCACTTTAAAGGATTGTGTTTATAATACACTACAATTACTAGGACACGGAAGCAAGCATTTAATTATAATATGCATAATCTACACGTGCAGATGCCTGGGTGCAGATGACAGTGCATTCACAGTCTCTAGTTGATGGAGTTTTTCTATATCGGGAATAGTTATGTTCCATTAAGTACAATTTAAAATTGATTTTAGTAAATATAATAGTTCGACATGACCCTTTAAAGTATACGTATAAGTTGTACTTTCACTTATGTGCGAAATCTCTCTAATGAAATGAAAAATACACTTATAAGTGTGACATCTTCGCTTTTTATTAATTATTTTCAGCACAACAGAACAATTACTACTACCTTGACAAAATATTATATAACAAGAACTCATGAGAATTTTTTGAGGGAGATATACATGGATATCAGGCACATAGCGTTTATATTTCCAAATTTATTGACATTTGAATTCAACATTGCCACAAACTCCGGAGTTGTCAGAGAAATACTACAGTTTAAGAATTTGTTACAGACACCAACTGCCGCTCACCAACCACCATGCGCCATCAAAAAAATACCATAACAATATGTCACCACCAAAAAGTGGTGACGTACAATTTAACACTGTAATTCAAGGCCAGGGGACTACAATTTTGTTCATCGTTTGCATCCCAGAAACTCCAAAAAAGAAGATCTTCATTTTCTCATTCTTATTGCATGAACATATTATGTAACAAGAGAGGTAACTCCTCCAAAATAGAACTGTGTTGAAAAGGTGACCAAAATTGACTGAAAACAATGAATAGCATGAGTTTTTCCTATTAGTTTTCAACTTTATGGCATTTTGATAATTTGAAAAAAGTTAACAAGATGGGATCTTAAGTTTGCACAGATTATGGAGTGAATATGTCAACCATGAGTTATTGTTTGGATGGCCAGGCAGATGGCCAGGGATGGATGGAGGGCACACGCCCTTAAGAAAAAAGCCATGGTAACCATGGTATTCCATGGTGCGTCCATGGTAATCCATGGTTTTCCATGGAAATTCATGGTTTTTCATGGTATTTTCCATGGAAATTCATGGATACCCATGGTAATCTTCCATGGATATTTACCATGATTTTCCGTGGTAATTGGTGGTTTGGTAATTGTTTTTTCATGAACATGCCATGTTTTTACCATGACACTTGAGTTGTAAAATCAACAATTTTGGCAGGTTTTGTTTTTACCCAAATCTTCAAAATTGAATCAATATTTTAACGAATGAATCCAAGCTGGATTGAGAATTAGTCTCATTAATCATAGATAAAAGAATATGACACCCCCCCCACCCCAAAATCTTTGAGAAAGTCAACCTTCTTGACAAAAGCTGGTTTCAGGCCTGAAATACAACCATGTTTTTACAATCTGAATATATGTTTAGTACATTCTGTACATAGTGTCATATGACAAAGAACTGTTTACTTAATATTTTTTTAATTGATGATTTGACCCCATAATTAAAAGTAATAATTTGTTTGCTGGTATTTGCTGTCATTTAACTTTGGCACTTATGTAAAAAAAGACAAAATAAGTGATAAAATCAGCTCACTGGATTCCCTTATTGCAGACTGAATAAACATTTTTACTTGGAGTAAATCCTATTTGGTTTTATTTGATCAACAATGAGTTTTTGACTTGCACTGTCTACACTCACAGACAATAATAATTACTGAAGAGGGAGCATTAGAAAGAGTAAGATTATCATATATAATAACAATTAAGATCAGAATATTTAAGAATTATGCAAATGAACTCTTATAATCTGTTGTAAAGAGATTAATCTTTTGACATTAATTTGAGAGTTAAGACACCTAATTAACATAGAATAATGGCAACCAAATATTTAAAAATTATGCAAATGATTATTTATTCCTATTCAAAGACAAATCAATTTTAATTACTTATACTATGTTTCATGTTTTAAGCCAAATGGTGTTGTTAACCCCCTCCCCTTCCTTCATGCAACTTCTTTTTAAATATAATATTCTTACATAGACAAATTGAATTTTTATCACTTAGGTAACATTTCAGTTTGCAGCCATAGGCTTGTGTTTAATACCCCATCTCAATTTCAAGTCAAAATTCTGTAAAAGTATATACTTTTCTGTGGATTTTTTCAGATAATATGCTTATAAAAGTTGAATGGGACTTAATTTGGAGAAGTTCATTTAGAAACATAATGTATTATTCATTTTTCTGCTTCCAAAAGACCAAACAAATAGCCCATGGAAAACCATGGACTTTCAAGAGATCAAAAGAATAATCATGGAAAACCATGGCTTTTGATTGCACTTTCCAAAACATCAAAGAAATAACCATGGAAAAGCATGGCTTTCGATTGCAATCAACCGTCTTCCATGGCTTTTGATTGCAGTTTTCTCAACTTCAAAGAAAGAAACCATGGTTTTTGATTGTATTCTCAAATGTACGAAATGTAATTTAAGAAAATGAGTTATTTATTTCTTAAATTACTTCATATTGATTTTTAAAACTGAAAATTAAAGAAAGTATTGAAATAAAACAGGGCTAGTTTGACTTAATCTTTTTCAAAGGAAAGAAGTGTTTGGCCTAAAAAATAAGCAATCTCTATCTAGTCTTGATTTACACAAAAGACCTTTGCACAATTGTTTTTGAAATCTTGTGGCCTACTCTCTGCTCTGCTGTTTCACATATTTTCTCATTTGTAAGCTGAGTCTAACATTCGATGAATGTTCTTGCTATACCTTCAAAATGAAATGTCCACCCTTTTTCTCAATGATAAGTCTCAGTCTAACTGGGATATATCATCAAAACATTCATTTTGGAGATTTTGGTAAATACAAATCCTACCAAAATTGTTGATTTTACATCTCCATGACACATCCATTAAAAACCAATTACCAAACCAACAATTACCACGGAAAATTATGGTAAATATCCATGGAAGATTACCATGGGCGTCCATGAATTTCCATGGAAAATAACATGGAAAACCATGAATTTCCATGGAAAACCATGGATTACCATGGGCGCACCATGGAATACCATGGTTACCATGGCTTTTTTCTTAAGGGGCTTCAGTATCAAGCTTTGTTGTTGGGGATAATCATTATTACTAGCATTGGGGATAATTATACTTTCAAAATTATATACAATTATCATGTTTTTTTTACATAAGAATAAACTGGTATATTTGAACAAAATAATTTCTTCCAAACTCATATCAAATTAATCAAGACTAATTGCTTTCACTTAAAAGCCCGAGCCATGCTGACTCTAGGTTTAAACGTGTATAAAATACATGAAATATGTGAATTATGAATTTTATGGATATCCAATAGAAAGACACCATAAGGTTATATGCCCTTTGATGTCTGCTATTTTATGGCATTATATTGTCCCTCAGTAAGAACGTAGGGATCAATAAACCATTAAATACTGCAAATAAACATTTGTGGAATGGAGAAGAATCATTCCAAGTGTATCTAATCCTCTGAAAAGAAGTCTCAGGTTAAAATACTTGATTTGTTAAGACTGACATTATGAGTTATTACTTACGAGTGTGGTTTTATGCTATCTTTGCTTCCTGACCCCGTTGAGCAACTGCTACCCATGATTCTATACAACGAAATGCAGCAACTGGAGCACGGAGATTTCTTATTTATAATTATTCCACTAGATACGTGTCACAGACACGATTCAGACTACATCACTATGTTAAATAATGCCCTATAGTTTGTGCTGGCTTGTACTTTGAATTGTACTTGAAGGGAATAGTTGTTCTAATTTGGCCTTGATTTTTCATCTCCATGGCTGCAAAGAAGAAAATATTCAATACAAAATTTGCTTATACAAACACGATCTTTACAACAAGTATGCGGGTTATTTTACCCTCAAAGTTCGCAAATATGTACATTGCCTATTCATGAACTGTTTACTCAAGTTTATTCAACACTTTAGTGCTTGAAAACGAGCATACAAACCTTTCTGTGTGTTATTTCTAAAATTTATGTTGTTCAATTTCGTCCGCCATATTTAAACATAGAGATTCACGTTGATTGAATATGGGTATCTCTCTAATTGGATAAACTAGTTCAATAGATACATAGCGCGCGAAATTCGAATTGATTAATTGTCCAATAGTAGGTGTATGGATGATACGACTTCGTGCTTTTGTACACATTATTCAAAATAGCTATCACTTTTTTTATAAATAATTATAATTATATCCTGCATTGTGATTATTTGATAATTTATCAGTATATTTATTCAATGAATCAATGACATCTGTTGAATTGACTATTGAATGAATACTGGTATGAATAAAAAAATGTTTATTTGACAACATTAATTCATAGCATATAAATATCAATCATATTAAAATGTTTATTTTAAATATTTTTATTTGTCTAGAAGCAAGGATCAATGTGCCAATCATATTTAACCCTATTAAAATTATTCCATTTGTTGCATTTTGAAAAAGCTCCAAATGAAATATTTATAAAGCCTCTGATAATCTTATAAGTCAGGTGTAATAAAAATCAGCTTCATGGTTTAAGTGGCAACAAAAGATTGAAAAGTAAAATGTCGTTGTTAGTTATGTAATGTTTGGAATAGGCTCATAATTTTTCATACTCAAGAGGACTGATTCAAAACAATAACATTAGATAATAAAAATGGCTCTTTTTTCCCACCCTAAATCGATTGAAGTGGCTGCAAATAAATCTCTTTTGCAGATATGAAAAATTCTTACCAAGTAATATTCAATATTTCTTCAAAAAGATTTTTATATTTAACCTCTTGACTACCTGGAGTAACAAGATTTCTCATCACCTCAGAAATGACCTTGAAACCCTGAGTGGCAAGAAAATCAGTGACAAAATTGTTCACTAAAATTGATCTTATTTGAACAATTTTCATCCAAGTTACACAAAAAAATTGTTTTAAAATGTATAGAAATGATCTCTGCCATCTAATTTTACTAAGTTGAGCATCTGAAGATGTAGTAAAATGTCAAAAGCTGGCAAAAATGAAAATTTCTCTGGTTTCAACCGATTTCAGAGCCTGGAATTCAAGAGGTTATGTTTTCTATTTCAGACATTGCAAAATTGACCAGACCAGCAACAGTCAGATAAAAAGAGACAAGCTTATGTTTTGTTTGCTATTATGAAAAAACATTGTTCACATAATGGATGAATTCAATTTCAATTTCATTTCATTATTGACATATTTTAGGAGATATACTACAACATCATGTATATATCCTGAGAACAAGACCATTCCATATTTCAAATGTGGTTATTTACCCCTAAGTTTGAAGGGGGAGAGGGTAGTATGTATCCAACAGACTGACTAGAAGTCAGTCTGTTATGATGTACTTCTTTCCTGTGGAAATTGCAGTGAAATATTTTGCACAAAATTATCAATTGGAGGAACCATTTCTTCAATAAAATAAACAAATATTTAAATTTACCAAACTTTAACATAGGTGCCTTATAGTCTGAATATAATTCAGACTAAATAGGATATAGTCTAGGAGAGAGGGGGGGAACGAACCATAATATGAATTTAAATTATTTGCACAAAATAGGGACAACGATTTTTTGAATCAGAATAATTCTATTACAAATGGTCAATTATCCCTCATCTAACCATGATCTAAGGCTAACATACCTTTGAGGTATGTAAGTCTCAGCCATGATACAAATTATAAAAAACAAATAAGAACAGTATGCAATTTAATAACTACTATTTTTTATTATCAATCTCCACTTGTAATGGCATTAGTAGAATTATAACGTGGACATTTATGTTTATCCAGACAAGACTTAGTGTAGGCTTAATTATATGCCTACTAATTAACTGCATCATATAATATAACAGAAACCATACATAATAGCTTTATAGAAAAGTATAGTACTGTATCCAGGACAACCATTTGAAAAGCATGTTATTTCTTTGCCAGTTTACCTCTCTCTCTGTCTATTCTTTTTCAAATTAACAATACACTGTAAGTTGCTTTAATTTGGCACTATTCAATTTGGCAGACTGGGCCTGATTGGGCAAATTTTGAAATTTTGGCTGCTATTTAATTTGCCGGATTAACCTATCAGTAAAATGTGGATATTAGAGGGTTCATACAAAGATGTAAATAATGCTCTCGTTTTTTTTAAAATAACAAGCATTGGATCTAGATCTTCAAAAATAGTTCAATATTGACATTTTAGTGGAGTATTTTCATGTTTTTATCCTGAAGGGAATCCCTAGTGATTTATTCAAAAAATTGGCGGAGACTTAATTTGGCAGTTGCCAATCAATCTGCCAAATTAAAATGGCCAACAACTTTCAGTATGGCTCATGTTGAACAAAATAATTTCTTATGACAAAATTGCTTCATTTGTTTTTTACAAGCAATTGAAATATTGCACTATTAGCACATTTCACATTTAAGAAACTTCAATCATAAGAGATATAACATCATTCCAAAGTGGCTCTCTGGGTACTAGCCTAGTATTGAATAACATATCGATGCAATGTTTATACTGTACTAAAATAAGATTTGAACATAAAGCAATATAAATGTCTACATAATTGTAACTTGGATTAATTCAGAGCAAGGATTTTTTAAATTAAAGATTTAAATCTTTATAGAACTTAGGTAAATCCCTTAATAAATGATGTAAGTCACATTGACTCAGTGAAACATAGTAAAAGCAGTATTATCATAAAGTAAGTTTACAACTGACCCTCATAATTGAAAAAATGCTAAACACTAAACCCTCATCAGCCATTTATTAAATAGCTGGCCAAAAAAATTACTCCAAATTAAATAGAGTCACATTAATCTATGTTACAGTAGCTATATTTGTGATATTGTTAATTCAGGATCGAACATAAATATTTTCCAACAAGGAAAACGTAGAAATGTTGTTATTTTCTGAAATTTTTACCAACTATAAATTCAAAATAACCATTTCAGAAGATTCATACCAGCATCGCAATCATTTCTTTTTTGAGATTTTTCGTTATATTAGGAAATAAGACCAAAATTCACGATTCAAATGTTGAGGTGAACAAAATGGTGGCCGTTTGAATTCAAATTTTGTATCACGACATCTCCATATTTGGAACAGAATATCGATGTTGCACTCTGGGAGCCAATCCTCATTGGTTAATTATTACATAGAGTGCAACAGATTATAGCAAAATTGCAAGTAGATGATGATGTCTTTCTGTACTAAAAGTAAAAATTGATTTTAACTCAAGTGAATGCAAATGTACTTTATAAATAGGCCTACATGTAATCAACTGGAGGATTGGCTCCCAGGATCGAACATCGATATTTTCCAACAATGAAAATGTCGAAAGGTTATTATTTTCTGAAATTTTTACCAACTATAAATTCAAAATAAACAGTTCAAAAGATTCATACAAATATCTCGATTATTTCAGTTTTGGAATTTTTTCGTTAAGAAATAAGACCAAAATTCATGATTCAAATAATGGAGTGAACAAAATGGCGGCCATTTGAATTCAAATTTTGTATCACGACATCTCCATATATGGAATAGAATATCGATGTTGCACTCTGGGAGCCAATCCTCCTTGGTTAATTATTCCATAAAGTGCAAAATTGCAATTAGAGTTTGATGTCTTTCTGTACTAAAAGTAAAAATTGATTTTAACTCAAGTGAATGCAAATGTACTTTATAAATACATGTTATCAACTGGGTTCAATGTAATTCTCATTTGGTTACAGGGGTAAGTTACAATTTGCATAGGATTGTACAACTCTATCAAGCATCACTTGGAGCAATTTAAATCCCTTTGATCATTATAGTGAACTTTAAAGTGTCCCTGTCTTCCCCACATAGATATGGGGGCGATCTTCCATTGAGTTCAATGTAAGGGATAACATCGTCCAAATTGTAGATCTGGGTCTCTAGGTCAAATATACATTGCCTTGAGACAACCTGTTTTATATATTCTACTCCGTCTTGAACCCCTGTGGCCATGAAGACAACTTCAGCACGTTGAACAGTTGTAGTTTTTGTTTTTACAGAAAGTCGAACTGTTTCAAATGCACTGTCACTTACGTCTAAATTTCCCTGCCAACCAATCAGAATGCATGGTGGGAAATATACACCCTTTGGATGAAACTCGACATTCCACTCAACGCATTTATGATCGTCAGCCTTGGAACCACTGATGGGACTTGAGAATAGAATAGATCTGGTATAATACTTGGGTAAGTTTCGGAAGCGATTAATTTCCATCGACATACTCCAATGATCGTTAGTGTAATGTCTTGCCAGGTACTGCTCTTGAGGACCACGCCTATTAGAGATATTTCTCCGTTCTTCAACTTCCAATGAGTGAAACTGAAAGGCATTGGAGATCTTGTCTTGGATGAATTGTTGGCAAGTATTTGGGAGACTACTGGTTTGAATCTTGAGAAGTTGCATAGGGCGGATCATAGGGAATCTCACATATGATAGGGCTTCTTTAGCAATTGAGCCCATTGTCTCATCATCGTAGTTTTCCTTCTGACACTTAATCCAATATACCACACCACAATATAGCACAAACTCATCGGGGATAATCAAGTCTGATCTGCTGAGAAAATTAACCAATGTCCCGATATCCATTTCACAAAAATCACTGGTTGATATTACTTTCTGAAAATTATGCAGGATGAATAAACGACATGCTTCAGTGAGTTTAACGTGGAAACTTCTTTGCGAATACTGGAGCCAGGACACTGCATGGTTTAGCTCTACTGTAGATACAATATGTTCACACATGTAGTTAGTGCATAGGTCTGCTAGATCCTTCACAATGTATTTATCAGCCAGGATCAATAGTGGAAGGACGTTAGTATGGGTCAGCTGGATAGATCCTGTGTACATATATTTCAAGAAATGTTCGAAGACACCGGCACACTCCTCTTCCTCCCGTAGTGGTATGATGTCACGACGTGACTCAATCCACTTTGAATTTGTGAGCATAACACGGAAAATATCACTGGAGGAAGCAAGAATAAGTCGATGTGCATGAAACACTTTTTGGCCAACCATGAGTTTGACATCACTGAGTTCATCATTGTCATACAATGATTTCACTTTCTTGTGGATAGTAGAGGAATTATACACCTTCTGTCCTGTGTCATGTGAAAAGTCAGTTTTTGTCACTTTAAATGGCCGTGGTCTCTCACTACTACATTCTGAGCACTGTGAATCTGAAACAAAAAATTGAAAATTAAGGCAATTTGAAAGGAAGGAAATCCATATTATGTGGAGAAATATCATGTTGATCATTTAATTCAAAGGCAAGATAAGATGATGTTACAACAAGTAACAACACATTATGAATCCTGTGCATCTCAGTCCCATGGGCAAAGGTTTTACAGCAGTCTTTTCTGGTACAAGGCAAGGAGATGAATCTTTAACAGAATCATTTGGTTTTTTGGGGTAGCTATCACATATGGGTTAACTTTGATACCTTGTCGTTAACTTTGCTCTAATTTCCGATCCTTGGGGATACCAAAGTTAGGTCACTTGCTGATATTAAAGCAACATTAAATGTTAGACCCTGACCATATCAACTAGAAACTGGCAACTCCACGGAGTAGCAGATCCCCAAAAACACACTCATGAATCTGCACATGAGACAATGTAATATATCTATTCTACCCTTAATTAAATTGGCAAATAAACTATTAAAGGACATGCTAAAGAGCTTTCAACAGATTTAAGCATTTTGCTGTCCATTAAGGAGTTTCAAAGACTCAAATGATAATTTACAATATTTGAGATCTTATATAGGATAATTAACCCATGGTGCAGAACCATTAGGCCATCAGCTTCACCCCAAAATTTAGGTTATCGGTATCAAATCAAGGGAATAATCGCCATAGTGATTTTTGGGAAGGTTAAGACCTCTAGAGTAAGAAAATATGTGATAGTATTGCAACAGTTGTAGCTAAATGGGTGTTATCACCCATTTTTCAAAATGGCCGCCGGTGCACGTGTTACAATATAAGAGTGGGTATATCTAAGCACACTGAGATGCAGAAACTGATTTTAGGGCCTATGTTACGGTTTTAGGGGTCAAGGATTTCATTTATGTCTAAATCTATGTGATCAAGCAATTACTTCTTATAGAAATCCAAGATGGCCACCGAAATGGGTGCCAAAACGAATACCGGTATGTAACCATTGATTTAAGCTCGAAGAACAGTTAAGAACAGTGATTTTGGAGATCATGTCACAGTTCTAGAGTCAAGGATTTCATTTATGTCTAAATCGGAGTCATCAAATAATTACCTTTTCATAAAAATACAAGATGGCCACCAAAATGGGTGCCAAAACGAATATGTAACTATTGATCTAAGCTCAAAGAACAGTGATTTTGGAGATCATGTCTCGGTTTTAAGGGTCAAGGATTTCATTTATCTCTAAATCTAAGTCATCAAACAATTACTTTTTATAGAAATCCAAGATGGCCACCAAAATGGATGCCAAAATGAATATGTAACTATTGATTTAAGCTAAAAGAACAGTTCAGAACAGTAATTTTGGAGACTCTTGCTGGAATAACAACAGAAAACCGCTAAAAGCGCTTTAGTGGAAAGCGCTTTACAAAATCGCAATCCAGATTACATCAACAATTCTAACGCGCCTTAGGAATTTTATTTTGAAATTACACCTGTCATTTTTGAAACGCCTTTCAGGCACTTTTAACGATGTAGATATTGGAGAATATTCAGCAGATGTGTACATCTACAATAAATGTATTCTTTTAGCATTTAAAAGAAAATGTAACCGAGACTTTTGCCAGTGATGTGAACTTACTTTCAATTTGTGCGATATGATTTGATGACCTATTGCATCTTTTGGCTCCCATCCATCATTTCCTGTATTTTTCGGTGGCCCAAATGTGTAGCATTGGAAATATGTCTTTATTTCGTTTAGGGCAAATGGTAAAAATCCAGGTAGGGTGTTTTAAAAAAACCGATCGGTATTACACTACACTCCAAAAGCTGCTAATGATTTAAGTCGTTTTCTAGTGACTAGGGTTCTAGGAGTTTTCAAAAGCGCTTTTGTAAAACCGCAATAGTGATTACACCTATTTTTCAAACCGGGTTAAAACCTGAGGCGCCTTTCTAAAACGCATGGTGTAATTCCAGCATCTGTCTACTTTGTAGGGGCCAAGGATTTCATTTATGTCTAAATATAAGTAATCAAATAATTACTTTTTATAGAAATCCAAGATGGCCACCAAAATGGGTGCTGAAATGAATATGTAACTATTGATCTAAGCTCAAAGAACAGTTAAGGACAGTGATTTTGGAGACCATGTCCAGGTTTAAAAGGTCAAAAATTTCACTTCGATGTCTATAATTAAGTCATAAAATAATTCCTTTATTTTGATATCCAAGATGGCCATCAAAATGGCTGCAGAGTCACAATTTTGAGGACTGACTAAAATGTTAATCTTCATCAAACTCTTTCTGGTGTATGATACACTTTTCTTTGAGGAATATCTTGTGCTTGATCTTCTCCATCCAATAATCTACTTCTTTCTATAGTCAAGGTTTATGATACTGAGCCACCACAAAACTAAGGGAAAGGAAGGCAAATTACAATAATATTGCTAATACGATGATTATACCTAAGAATTTATTTCGCAAATGTTCATGTAATTGTTTGTTCTTATTTGACCTTTTATAATATTAACACTTTGGCATCCATCTTGAATTCTGATATTAATCACAGATTGTTTCATGGCATAGCTCTAGATAACTGAAATTCTTGACCTCCTTAAAGTAAACATTGCTTCCAAAATTACTGTTCTTGGTGATCTATGTGGTTAAATGGATAGTTATATGAATTCATTTTGGCGGCCATTTTGGAGGCCATCTTGGATATGTATATAAATAAAATGTTTGTTGATTTTATTAAAGACAAAATTAAAATCATTGACCTCACAAACTTAAAATATCAAAAATTAATGTTCTAACTCCTCTATATGTTTAGATAATAAATAAAAGCTATCTTGGATCCAAATGAAGGAATTAGTTATAGTTTTAAGCATAACTGAAATTCTTGACACCAAAAATCTTGACATGGTCTCAAATTACTGTTATAAACTGTTCTTTCAGCTTAAATCCAAATTTACTTGTTATTGGCACCCATTTTGGTGACCATCTTGAATTTCTATGAAGAGCAATTATTTGATGACTCAGATTTAGACATTTATGAAACCTTTGACCCCTAAAACCTAGACATTGTCTCCAAAATCACTCTTCTTAACTGTTATTTGAGCTTAAATCAATAGTTGAATATTCATTTTGGCACCCATTTTGATGGCCATCTTGGATTTCTATATAAAGTAATTGTTTGATGACTTAGATTTAGACACAAGTCAAATCTTTGACCCCTTAAACCTAGACATTGTCTCCAAAATCACGGTTCTCAACTGTTCTATGAGCTTAAATCAATCAGTTAAATATTCATTTTGGCACCCATTTTGGTGGCCATCTTGGATTTCTATATAAAGTAATTGTTTGATGACTCCAATTTAGACATAAATGAAATCCTTGACCCCTAAAACGCAGACATGTCCTCCAAAATCACTGTTCTTAAATGTTCTTTGAGCTTAAATCAATAGTTGAATATTCATTTTGGCAGCCATTTTGGTGGCCATCTTGGATTTTTTATTTAATGTAATTGTTTGATGACTTAGATTTAGACATAAGTCAAATCCTTGACCCTTAAAACCTAGATATGGTCTCCAAAATCACTGTTCTTAACTGTTCTTTGGGTTTAAATCAATAGTTACATATTCGATTTGGCATCCATTTTGGTGGCCATCTTGGATGTTTATGAAAAGTAATTATTTGATGACTCAGATTTAGACATAAATCAAATCCTTGACCTTTAAAACATAGACATGGGCTCAAAAATCACTGTTCTTGAGTGTTTCTTGAGCATTAACAGTAGTTACATTCTTTTTTGCACCCATTTTGGCATCCATCTTGGATTTCTATAAAAAGCAATTGTTTGATGACTTAGATTTAGACATAAATGAAATCCTTGACCCCTAAAACCTAGACATAGGTCCTAAAATCACAGGTTTTGCATCTCAGTGTGCTTAGATATACCTACTCTTATATTGTGACATGTGCACCGGCGGCCATTTTGAAAAATGGGTGATAACACCCATTTAGCTACAATTGCTGCAATGCTATCACATATTTTCTTACTCTAGAGGTCTTAACCTTCCCAAAAATCACTATGGCGATTATTCCCCTAATTTGATACCGACCAACCCCCCAGGCTGATGGCCTACATGGGCTTATAACATGTATAATAAAAAAAACATCAGAATCCCACTGGACAATGACTAAAAATGTCAATTTCATCAAGACACTATTTCCACCATGGAGCTATTTCGACATTGGGCTATACTAAAAAAAATATTGAAATCTCAAATAGGCGAAATCTTCATCCAAAAATGTTAATTAATACCATGGGCGAGTCAAAATAGGAGGCCTGTCAACTTGGGAACACCTAACATGAGTGTCTTACAATGTTGAACACCTTTAAATCTGAACACCTTAGCCCACAGTTTGAACACCTTGGTTCAAATTTAAATTTTGTTTGAAGTTTTTCTACAGAAATATTTTTGCTTGACAATAATCAGGTAAAATGCGTATTTGCGTAACATATTCTGTCACGCGAAAAAAACAAATACGCAAATTTCGGGACAGTTAGATGGGTGAAATAGTCTAGCCCCAGGTTGAAGTAGCCCCGAGACAAAGTAACCAACAGCATTCATCGAAGTTCAACGAAAGAATACATAAACGTAGTCTAATATGTGTTTCCAGGACCCTGCACTCTTACTTCCTGGGAAGCACCTCTGGTATATTCACTAAAGGTATGAAAAACAAACAAACCTGAAGTTGATCCAGAAGCTTTTGGGGAAAAATCATTCTCTTCGCTGCTTGATTCTACTTTTAAATAAGAAAACAGGTCCCGAAATCGTACTTCTCTGGGAACTTCAGTCATCGTTTGTTCATCCGCTCAATATGTATTGAAGAATAACTTTGTTGTTTAACAAAAACTGGAGAAAATATGAAGAATTCGAAAACTGAAAATTTGATAACAGACATTTTGAAAATGCCCGGATATTCTAATATAAAATAAACGAAACCATCCAAATATTTATTTGCGATACGAAGTATGATGTACAATAAAATAAGAATAACAATAATAATTTAAGGTATTTAACCCTTAAAAATGTGTCTTTGCCAGATATCAAGAAAATATTATTGAATTTTGTTATTTCGTTTTGTAATAAAGTTCTACATCATCAACCATCAACATTTAAATCCCATGATGCATTGCCAACGGTTCAGCAATGGCAAATGCAGAATTAGTTGGAAGTAGGCATGAGAAAAGCCTGGGATTACTCACTACAAAATTTGTAAATCTGCTTCAAGAAGCAAAGGATGGTGTACTTGATCTCAAAGTTGTAAGTGTTACATTATCATATGAATTTACGTTCCTAGACTTGCATCGAGAGTGCTCCAAAGTTTGACCCAATTTTTTCACGTTTTCCAAACTCAGGTTCAGAACTGCTTACTTCGGTCCAAAGCCTTCTCTATATTCCGGCTTTGAGGAGGAAGATTGAGCTGCCTTAGTATTATAAATATTGTAAATCATTGTGTCACACGCACAGTAAATATGGCATAATAATATGAAATATACCTTTATGTATAGATTTGAAGAACATCAGCTCACATTCCCGTCTGATACTATTGTTATATTTGATTTCTTTAAGCGAGAATAATTTCAAATGTTATTCACGTCCAGAACCGGAAGCCATTTTTAGCTACAGCGAGAAAATTTCACCATGTGTCAAAACTCCGAAATGAAATTTTGAAATATCTAAATCCAGACAAGCAACGCTTCATCCTAAATATGATTAATATTCTTAAAAATATTTATAAAATTTATTAAAAATGAGTTCTAGGTGCGTGTAGGTGCGTGTAGCACATTACATACGAAATCAATGAAGTTTCGTCTAGCTGTAAGCTAGAGACTCGAGTAAAGAACTGCAACAAATCTAAGCAACCACCGTCATTCAGTCAATTTCTTCCAAAAAGATCTCCTCATTCCAGTGTTGTCAGAGTTAGGCTAGAAGAAATCTAAGCCTTGACAAGTTTATTTTTGAAGTGTACAAAAAAGAGTCATGCAGGTCCGATTGTTTCTTCTTTTAAATACAAACAGTAGAACTGGAAGACTTGCCAATACCACGCCTGGTGGTCGGACAAAATGAACGGAGGGTGAAGTATGGGGAAACAGTCCTAATTATCGCACGGTCCTAAATAGCTAAAGTATGCACTGTACAATATTTTAAAAACCAGTGTAATAACACCAGCTCAACACCTTTACTCCCAATCTTCTTGATTTATTAATATATTTAGATATCTACAGTGTTTTCAGTAGGTTTGTCCAAGATTGCGTCCCTGGGACTTAACGATTTTCAAAAAATGCGTCTCCCCTCAAAAAACTGCGTTCCTTGAAAGATTGTTCCCAGGAATTCAAAGTCACACTTTTATACTAACCGAAATAAAATTGTTGATATTTTGTATCGCTTTTGCTATTTATCGGTCTAAATCAGTGTTCTGGCAAGTCTAGTATATCATTGAATGATATAGATACCATCACTTGTGAGGTATAACTTATATTCAACCATTAGAAACATATTTTCTTTGCGTATTTCGAAGCAATTAGCTACTGATTTTGCTTTAGTTTAGGGGCAATCTGCGCGAGGTTCGATTTTTTGGTTCAGTTTCTTGCGTATGCGCATTATTAAGTATTGATCTTGTGATCGCACTTGACCAATAAAAAATGGTTTAAATCGGGTCTTCAGCTAGCTAGCGGCCAATCGTAAGACTCGTACTGATTACTGCTCGGATATCGAGTATTGGATAACTATTTGTCCAATCACATGCCTCATACTATTTCGATCAGAAATCAACTTCCGGGAAGGAAACTTCGAAAGAAAATTTTATTTCTTTTAGAAATAGAATTTCCTTCAATTATTTAGTGGATTCACGAAGTGATTTACAAAATTCAAATCGCGTCCCAAAAATGTAATTTTTTTTAAATTTACGTCCACCCAATCTTGATTTACATCCTCTCCATTAAAGGACGCCTTACAGGCCTGTAAGACACTTTTCTCCAAGTAGTGGGGCCAGTTAGCTGTTCAATTGCACTTGCTATATATAAAGCACCATTTTTTGACCGAGGTATCCTTAATACATGTAGTTTTGATATCTAACGAAGTGGTAACGAAAAGTACCCCTATTTATTAAAAGCAGCCCTTGAAAATTTTGTATTTTTACATTGAGCCCCATGTTAATTTATCAATCTTCTAAAGACCCCCTGCAGAACAGTTCTAGGGTAATAAAGCCCATATCCCCAGCATGTTACAATTATATAAATATCTTCAAAATAGGAGGGGTTAAATTTTTTCTTTTGCCTAGTTCCAAAGATATTGGCCTTTGGATTTTTGAAAATTCCCATTGACTGCCATTATAAACCGCTATCAATATGGCTTTAATAAAATGTCATTTTCTCAAAAAGTTTACTATGGAATTTTCTGATATTGCAGATTTCTATAGTTAATATATTGACTTAAAAAAATCAAACAGACACATTTCTAAAAATTTCTTATTTTTGAAATATTAAGCTGTTAACTTGCACATGAAACTATAAAAAAAAACGATATTGAGCCCAATGTTAATTTAGCGATCTTCAAAGGACCCCCTGCAGAACAGTTCTAGAGCAATAAAGCCCATATTCCTAGTATGTTACAATAACATGATTATCTTCAAAACAAGAGGGGTTAAAGTTTTTCTTTTCCCTAGTTCCAAAGATATCGACGTTTGAATTTTGGAAAATCTCCATTGGCTGCAATTATGAACCACTATCAACATGGCTTTACTAAAGTGTCCTTTTTTCAAAAAGTCCACTATGGAATTTTCTAATATTGCAGATTTCCATTGTTAATATATTGAATTTAAACAAATCAAACAGACACATTTCTATAAATTTCTTATTTTTGAAATATTTAGCCATTAAGTTGCATACGAAACTATAGAAAACCTATATTGAGCCCCATGTTAATTTATCAATCTTCAAAAGACCGGCTGCAGAGCAGTTCTAGAGTAATTAAGCACATACTGTATTGCTGGTTTATTACAATTACATGATTATTTACAAAATAAGAAGGGTTAACTTTTTACTTTTGCCCAGTTTCCAAAGATATTGGCTTTTGAATTTTGGAAAATCCCTATTGACTGCCATTATAAACCGTTATCAATATGGCTTTACTAAAATGTCATTTTCTCAAAAGATTCACGATGGAATTTTCTAATATTGCAGATTTCTATAGTTAATATATTGACTTAAAAGAATAAAACATGCACATTTCTGTAATTTTTTTTATTTAGCCGTTAAGTTGCACATGAAACTATAAAAAAAACGATATTGAGCCCAATGTTAATTTAGCGATCTTCAAAGGACCCCCCGCAGAACAGTTCTAGAGCAATAAAGCCCATATTTCTAGTATGTTACAATAACATGATTATCTTAAAAAGAAGAGGGGTTAAATTTTTTCTTTTCCCTAGTTCCAAAGATATCAACGTTTGAATTTTGGAAAATCTCCATTGGCTGCCATTATAAACCACTTTAAATATGGCTTTACTAAAGTGTCAATTTCTCAAAAAGTTTACTATGAAATTTTCTAATATTGCAGATTTCTATTGTTAATATATTGAATTTAAAAAAATCAAACAGACACAATTCTAAAAAATTCTTACTTTGGAAATGTTTAGCCGTTAAGTTGCACACAAAACCATAGAAAACCTATGCCCCATATTAATTTTAATCAATCTTCAAAAGACCCCCTTCAGAACAGTTCTAGAGTAATAAAACCATATTGCTATTGTGTTACAAAAGCATGATTATCTTAAAAATAAGAAGGGTCAAAACATTTTTTCTTGCCTAGTTCCAAAGATATTGGCGTTTGGCGTGAAAAATGTCAATTGGCTGTCATCATACACCGCTATAAATATGCCTTAGATTAAAGTGTAAATCCTATTTCTTTCAACTTTTTACGATCTTTGCTTTACATGTTCCTCAAGATTACATACATTTTTAATACAATGGATTAGTAAAATGTAATAATAAGTTTTGATAAGTCCCTGATAACTAAACTCATGTTATCATCACATCGTAAATGCTCTGAAAATGATTTAAATCGCATATTTTGAAAATAAATATACGGTACAATGTTTGACCCAATGTTTAGGACTTAATATCAGAAACTTACGCCCACAGCATCCCCTTTCAAGTAAAATAGATTTATTGATGTCTTTCAAGTTTGTAAACTAAATTTTGTTTTATTCATACTTAATTGTTTCAAAAGACAAAATGAATCCCTGTCAACATGTACAATGATTATTTCATTACAAATAGCAAAAATCGTGCATCTTATAATTTTATTTATTTATGGAATGAACTCCTTCAAAGAAATCCATAGGCGAAATAAATTGAAGTCGGATTAGAAAAAATAATCCAAAATAGCAGAAAATAGCAGACATTTTCAATTGAACGGCCATATTGAAAATTCCCTCTCTAGCAGAGGTCTTACGGCTATTAGTGCTATAATGGCTAATAAGCCTAAAACATTTTGCCAGTATTTCAGTAATTATCACTTAATTCAATATATTTACTATAGAGATCTGCAATATTAGAAAATTCCATAGTTGACTTTTTGAGAAAAGGACACTTTAGTAAAGCCATATTGATAGCGGTTTATATTGGCAGCCAATGGGGATTTTCTAAAATTCAATCGGCAATACCTTTTGAACGAGGCAGAAGAAAAAATTTAACTCTTCTTATTTTGAAGAAAATCATATAATTGTAACATACTGAGAATATGGGCTTCATTGATCTGGAACTGTTCTGCAGGGGGTCTTTTGAAGATTGGTGAATTAACATGGGGCTCTATACAGGTTTTCTAAAGCTTTATGCGTAACTTAACAGCTAAATATTTCAAAAATAAGAAATTTTTAGAAATGTGTCTGTTTGATTTTTTTCAATTCAATATATAAATTATAGAAATCTGCAATATTAGAAAATTCCATAGTGGACTTTTTGAGAAAAGGACACTTTAGTAAAGATAGCGGTTTATAATGGCAGCCAATAGGGATTTTCCAAAATTCAAACGGCAATATCTTTTGAACTAGGCGAAAGAAAAAAATTTACCCTTTGTATTTTGAAGATAATCATATAATTGTAACATACTGGGAATATTGGCTTTTTTACTCTAAACTGTTCTTCAGGAGGTCTTTTGAAGATTGATGAATTAACATGGGGCTCAATACAGGTTTTCAATAGTTTCATGCGCAACTTAACGGTTAAGTATTTCAAAAATAAGAAATTTTTAGAAATGTGTCTGTTTGATTTTTTTAAATTCAATTTATTAACTATAGAAATCTGCAATATTAGAAAATTCCATAGTAAACATTTTGAGAAATTAACACTTTAGTAAAGCCATATTGAGAGCGGTTTATAATGGCAGCCAATGGAGATTTTCCAAAATTCAAACGTCAATATCTTTGGAACTAGGCAAAAGAAAAAATTTAACCCTTCTTATTTTGAAGATAATCATATATATGTAGTATACTCCGAATATGAGCTTTATTACTCTAGAACTGTTCTGCAGGGGGTCTTGAGAAGACTGATAAATTAACATGGGGCTCAATGTAAATGTGCAAAATCTTCGAGGGCTGCTATTATCAACTTGGGCCACTTTCCAATACCACTTCGTTAGATATCAAATATACATGTATCAATGATACTTCTGTCAAAAAATTTTGCTTTATATATAGCAAGTGCAATTATAGGGTTTTATTGTCCTAACTGATCCCACTAAAGGGGGGTGCGGTTTTTACTAAAGAAAATATAAAATTGTCAATTTTTGTCGCGTAAATCAAATCGCGTAAGTCAGAGGGGGGGGGGGTCGGCTACTCCCTATATTGGGGCCATTCAGCCTATTTTGTGGTTTTTTTAGACTAAATATTGAATGAGCAATTTGGAAAAACACTGGAATAGAGGGAAGGTGTGCACGAAGGGCATAAATGTTTACCCAACACTTTTTACCAGTTCAAAATCACATTCAGAAATTCAGATTTTTCAATCATTTTCTTTTTTCTTCTTAGGAGAGCGAGGGGGCAGCACAGGAAAATTCTACCTATTAAAGATGCTGTCTGATGAATTCTGAGCACTTTTTATGTGTTTGAGTAAATGAATGCTTTAGATTTTGGTGTGGGGTGCCAGAAATTTTTATGATTTCATTATGTCACTTGGTGACTGTTTAAGTGTCCAAACTGTCCAATTGTTTTGTATGGGGTGTGAGGAGTAGCCCACTCTCCGTAGAAAATTTTACACTTTTGAGATGCTATATGGTGCTTTCTACTTTCTAGGCACTTTCAAAGTGTATGAGTCAATAAAAACATGGGAATTCTTTTGGGGGTGTCAAAGCAGATGAGAGGGTGAAGTGTGGGGTGCCAGAGGCGGACCAAGTGTTTGTCCCCCCAGAAACATTGAACACATCAAGGTGCTATTTGATGATGTCTGGGCACTTTAAAAATGTCTGAGACAATAAGTGAAATTCAGAATTTTTTCAATTGTTTTGTGGGGGATTTGAAGGATGGCCATCTTCAAGAAAATTTTACAATTTTAAGATGATATTTGGTGCTTCTGAGCTTTTTTAAAGTGTATGAGTCATTAATTTTTTCAAATTTTGAGGGGAGGGTTGTCAAAGGGGGATGCCAGAGGGCGAGGTGGGGTCGGGGTGCCAGAGGGGGAGCAAGTGTTTGTCCCCCATATCTGTCCCCCAGAAACACTGACCATATCTTGGCACATTAAAAGTGTCTGAGACAATACATGAAATAAATTCAGAATTTTTCTCAATTGGTATGGGGGGATGTGAGGGGTGGCCTACTTCACTAGAAAATTTTACAATCTTAAGATGCTATTTGGTGCTTTCTGGGCACTTTCAAATTGTACTAGATGACTCAATAAAATATTTGAAAAAATCACATTAATTGTTTTTCTCAATTTCTTGAGGGTTGTCAAAGGGGGGGCGGGTGCCAGAGGGGGAGGTTGGGTGGGGAAGCCAGAGGGCGAGTAAAAATCTTTGACTTTATCAAGGAGCTATTTGATGATGTCTGGGAACTTTAAAAGTGTCTGAGACAATACACAAAATTCAGAATTATTTCAATTGTTTTGTGGGGGATGTGAGCGTGGCCAGTTATCCTAGAAAATTTTACAATTTTAATATGCTATTTGGTGCTTTCTATGCACTTTAAAAGTATATGACTTAACAAAAAATATGAAAAAATCACAATTTTTTTCAATTTGGGGGGGGGGGTTTAAAGGGAGGGGGTGTCAGAGAGCGAGGTGGGTTGTTAGTCTCCAAGAATCATTGACTATATCAAGGAGCTATTTGATGATGTCAGGGCACTGTCTGAGACAATACATAAAATAAATTTTAAGACACTATTTGGTGCTCTCTGGACATTTTCAAAGTGCATGAGTTAATTACTAGTAAAACATTTGGGAAAATCACAATTTTTTCCATTATTTGGAGGGGTGTCAATGGGGGGGGGGTACTGTTGCCAGAGGGGGAGGTGGGGTGGGGATGCCAGAGGGGGAGCAGGTATTAGTCCCCCAAAAACATTGACTATATCAAGGAGCTACTTGATGATGTCTGGGCTCTTTAAAAGTGTCTGAGACTATACATAAAATAAATTCAAAACTTTTCCATTGTTTTGTGGGGGGTGGGAGGGGTGGTCCCCCGCCCCCCAGAAAATTTTACAATTTTGAGATGCTATTTGGTGCTTTCTGGGCATTTTCAAAGTGTATGAGTCAATGAAAAAAATTTTTTTAAAAAAATATAAATTTTTTTTTTTCAAAAATTCTTTTTTTTGGGTGTCAAAGGGGGGTGCGGTCGCACCCATCGCACCCCCCCATCTGACGGCCCTGCCTTAGTGAAATCACTGATTTAGAAATATCTCTTCATTTTTTTTTTATTTACTGCCGATATTGTCATAACAAGTGGACGGCCAGGATTTTTTATGTGGAGGATTTTGCAACATTTTAGGATTTCGTCATTTTTCGTGCAACATTTTAATGTTTTTTATGGTAGATTTTAATGAGCACAAAGAAATATTAGAGGAGAATTTTTATCGAACGAAGGTGCTGCGGCTCAGAGATTTCAAGTGAGTGCAAATGAACTCTCAGGTGGGTTCAAGCCTATTATCAAAATATCAGGTGGATGCTGCACCCACTTGCTTTAATGCTGGGGAGATCACTGGTGATTGAGAATAGCACTTGCCACTTTACCCAAATTTTCTCATATCGATACTTCATTTGTAGGCTGCAGACACCTTAGCTGTGCGGCAGAAGAGGCGTATTTATGACATCACAAATGTGTTAGAAGGTATTGGGCTGATTGAGAAGAAATCAAAGAATAGTATACAATGGAAGTAAGTTGGATTATTGACTTAATTCACTTGTTAATGTAGATAAACAAAATTCAATTTAAGCCAAATATGGCTAACTAATGTAATGGATTTAAATGTGCAACATGGTTCATTGTCTCATTGAGGGATTATTGCTCATTTGAAACATGGTGGCTCCAAAGCAGTCCTAGTTGTATCAGTTCCTCATTTAATTTATTAAGATTGTTACACTGGGGGACCTCCCCTTTGATGGCCCAGAAAAAGAATTTGGCCCAAAACTTTGCATCGGTCTTACTTTTTAATCTAGACCAAATTATACATTAAAAAACAGACTTTAAATTTTTTCCCTTGGAAATACTTTTTATGACTTCAAATATGGCTCCACCCTTGTTAGTTTTACCTGCCCCTGTGTTATACATGTCTTTTGTTCATTACATAACCAGAGGTGCAGGCCCAGGCTGCAACACAAGGGAGATATCAGACAGACTTGTAGCATTGAAGGGAGAGATGGACAAGCTTGCCCAGGAAGAGGCTAAGCTAGACACACACAGGGAGTGGGTACAACAGAGCATCCGCAATGTCACTGAAGATATAAATAATCATCAGTATCCTTTCAATAAAATACATGTTAATGATATGTTTTTTAAAACAGTTTGTGAATGTCCCTTAGTTGTATTTTAATGCACCATTGGATTTAAAACTGTAAGGGATTTCCTGTGTGGGGCAGCAAATGTGTGAGCACCCTCAATTCTTATTTTCTGTTCTATTGTCATGTTTAGAAGTGAACCAAATCTATTATTATTTAGATATGCATATTTCCAGAAATTACTGAATTCCAAAAAGTAATCTCATCTTAGACACAGAATGTTGTCTTACCCATACCCAAAATTAATGAAATGTTCAGAAAATATGTTTATAAAACAAACCTGGCTTAAATAGAACAAAATTAAGCCTAAATCACCAGCAATCTCCAGACAGGCAGAGTCAAGTAAGTTGTAAAACATTTCAAAATATATAGTTTGCCTTAACACTCTCCCAGACTATCATACGTCACACATGAAGATATCTGTAGATGTTTTCAGGGGGACACTCTGTTAGCCATCCAGGCCCCCTCTGGAACACAACTAGAAGTACCCATTCCAGAGGGAGTAAGTACAATACTTGGAATAACAAACCATATAGATTATGTTGATGGTTCTTTTTGAATTATATATAGTAGAACAAAATTAGACTAAATGTTTAAAGTAGAGTTTGTTTCATTGATTTTTTTAATTGTTTTAATGAAGTTTTGCAAGTTAATTATTAATACACACTACTTGCTTGTGTAACTTCAAGACTGTTTATCCTAATGATAAATAATATTTGTTAATGTTATGGATCACAAATGTTTAAGGAGAGGAAATATGGTAATTTTGGAGGAGTTGTTTAAAGGAACATGTCTGAATAGAAGGAATATCATATATTTTTAATGGCTTAGAGTTCGAATAAACTGGGCATATGCTGGGGTTTCATTAGAATTTTTGAAAACAGGCAAAATAAATGAAAAGTACAAGTGAAATTATTCGAAATTTAGAAACAGTTGCCAAATTCATTAAAAACAACTGCAGAAAATCTCCCCGTTTCTTGCTGCTGTTAAACCCCTAATATTGGACATTAATTCATCTTTTTGGCTATATGAAAATGATTAAATCATGACTTCCTCATATTTTGAAAGAAGTGATTTCTCCTCAAAAGTCATCATAATATTCTCCTAATTCACAGGTTGGATGTTGTGTTTGTTTAGTTGTTAATTGTTGATTTGTTATGTTCTATGCAGGTATATGCTGGAATAGGGGGGCAGTTATATCCTAAAATTACAGCTGGGGTAAGAAACTTGTAAATAAAATTACCTACAATTCACCCTATGCAGACAGAGCCTGTGGGAAATATTGGGTGCGGAGCAAATGAGCGGAGGGTGCGGAGCTAACGGTTATTTTTGAATTTAAATTTGTGATATTTCTGAAACTAAGCCTTTTTGGGACTTCAAATATACCAAGATATGTGTATTTGACACCAAATATCAATACAATTGTGAAAATAGTAGCGCAATTCATTCTATAGCGACGCAGTGTGCCTTAAACCTTTCCCAGACCTATATATTTTGAAATTATCCTTTTAATACTGAGTCCCCAGCATTCATAAAAAATGGTGTTCAAGGTGCACTATCTATACAAATTATTTTTGCATCTTGGAAGCCAGGCAGTATCTGTGTGATTTTATAAAAATTCGGAAATGTTCTTCAGATATGAGCCCCTCTAAATATTGGGTGCGGAGCAGAAATTCAAATCTGACTTTAGATTTGACTTAAGATTTGAGATTTGACCTTCAATGACCTTCTCAAAGTCAAAAAAGGTCAAAAAGGTCTTTTTTCAACTTGCTTCAAATTGACTAAATTTTTTTTTCAAAATCATCTACATGTTCTCAGAAATTCAAATCTGACTTTAGATTTGACATTTGACCTTCAATGACCTTCTCAATGTCAAAAAAGGTCAAAAAGGTATTTTTTCATCTTGCTTCAAATTGACTAAATTTTTTTTTCAAAATCATCTACATGTTCTCAGAAATTCAAATATGACTTTAGATTTGACATTTTACCTTCAATGACCTTCTCAAGGTCAAAAAGGTCTTTTTTCAACTTGCTTCAAATTGACTAATTTTTTTTTTCAAAATCATCTACATGTTCTCAGAAATTCAAATCTGACTCTAGATTTGACATTTCACCTTTAATGACCTTCTCAAGGTCAAAAAAGGTCAAAAAGGTCTGTTTTCAACTTGCTTCAAATTGACCTTTAGGTGGTGACATTTTGTCATGTTAATGCCTTGTTTATGAATGCTGGGGACGCAGTATTAAAAGGATAGTCTCAAAATATATAGGTCTGGGAAATGTTTAAGGCATACTGCGTCGCTATAAAATGAATTGCACTACTATTTTCACAATTTTATTGATATTTGGTGTCAAATACACATATCTTGGTATATTTGAAGTCCCAAAACGGCTTAGTTTCAGAAATATCCCAATTTTAAATTCAAAAATGACCGTTAGCTCCGCACCCTCCGCTCATTTGCGCCGCACCCAATATTTCCCACAGGCTCTGTCTGCACAGGGTGCAATTCTGTTGCCTGTACTGTATTATACTGTAATGACAGTACTGTACTATACTGTACTGTATTATACTGTTATGACAGTACTGTATTATGCTGTGCTGTACTACTGCATTGCACTGTACATTTATTGATGTATTAAAAATGTAACAAAAATAAGTCCCTTGTATAACATTAACTTCATCGGAGTTGTGTATCTTATGTATGTTAATATAAGATTTACTCAATTTGGAACATGCACACTGCCATGAAATTTGCCATATCAATGTATTTTAAAGTGAATGCATTATGTGCACAATTACCATTTTATTTGCAGCCTGTGAACCAGAAAAAGAACTACCAAATCCATTTAAAAAGTCAGTCAGGTCCAATCTATGTACTGTTAGTGAACAAAGACACAGACTCCACGAGTCCAGTTGTTGTGCAGGTCCCACCCCCCAAGGAAGGGGAGGTCATAGATCCTCTGGGGGCCACCAGGATGCATAAACCTACATTCACCCAACAGAAAGTAAGTGTAATATGATAGTATCCAATTTGTAGTGTATTTACATGTTGTGGTCTTGAAATGTATCAGATTCTGAAATATATGGCCTAGCCTATGAACGGCTAAAAATTCTGACAAATTTAGTTGAAGTATTAAGGTACAAATATTTATGCATATTACTCAAAACTATTTATCGACTACGCTACATGTACATTGAAACACAATTCGAATATTCCATTAAAATGGAAAATTTGTCATTTTAGAACGTATCAAGTCCACAGAAATCTCCACAGAGGCCAAAACAGGATATTGCATCTCCGATGGATAGTACTCCGGTGGCTCCATCTATTCCACAGCGAATGGCTACCAGGTCATCACCTCGTAAAAATGCAAGTCTACCAGAAGAGTGTGCTAGTAAGTATAGATGGCAGCATTGTGGTGCCCTTTTATGTTCAAGATGTAAACCCCACTGAAGTCTGAAACATTTTGTATGTTTTCCAAAGACATCTTATGAACATAACTGGTTTAGTAGGAAAATGATCTTTTGCTACATCTTGTAGTATCTTTGTGTGCTTTTGGGGATTAATTAATTCGAGATGTTTACAATGTGTAAACTGCAATGTATTGTCGAGACATTCCGTTCTTATGGCCTGTTAAAGCTCAAATTGTATTAAACTGAATCTGAAATTGTGGAGAGAAATATTAAGTAAATACTTAATTCTGTAGAGAATAGTACCTGTTCAGCTTTCAATGATTGTTGCAAGATGTATTACCTGTATCCTGTAGGGTCTGGATCTACATATGGGCATTACACTGGGGTATTACTTTTATTAATACAAAGATTAAGGTGGCATGATATATGTTTTCGTACATGAACTTCATTGACCAATCAGAGTAGAGATTCTAGCAATGATATGCTAATTGTTGCTTTTTCAGCTCAGTTAAGTAGTGAGATACCCGCAGACAGTGGCGACATCTTGTTTGATGTTGACAAGGACCCTGTAGATGGCCAACTCATAGATGAACTCATGTCCTCAGAAAGTAAGTACACAATACTAATTGTTTCATTTTAATTGGTACTGAACCTTGTTTAAATGCGAAATTACCTTGCACAAAGTTGAAAATCTATTTGCACCCAGCTGAAAATTTCCAGCTTACTATATTCTAATAAACTGTATACAATATCTTAGAAATTGATACGAAATATGAAAATAACATAACCTGAAGGAACAAGTTTATGATTTCTCTTTTGTGTGTTTCAGTGTTTGCCCCATTGTTACGCCTCAGTCCGCCACCTAGTGACAGAGACTATTATTTCAACTTGGATGATAATGAAGGTGTCTGCGATCTCTTTGATGTTCCTCTCCTGTAGAACATCAATAAATGTACTCTCATATAGAAAAAAATCCTTGTGCCTCATATACATGGGTTATACCCATTTCCATGGAACGTCACAATTTAGTCATATAGGAATAACACCAATGTTAATGTCATTTTCTCAAATAAAGAGTTAACCCATGGATCTCATCAGCAGGAAACGAGGCAGTGAAATTGCCTGTTTTGAGGAATATTGAAGCAATTATCGGTTAAAAAGATAATTAATTTCACCAATTTTGATGTTGTTCTTCCCAGAATTCTAATGAAAGCCAACCTCAAATGGAAATTAGTGGCATAAGCAGAACTTGGTTACAGCTGAATTTATATTACATTTAGAAATAAGATGTAAGGAAATCTGTGAATGACAATGAATGAATTACTTTCATATCAAATGAAGAGAACTGATATGTAAGCTGATCATTAAAAACACATACTAAGACCTGGATATAATTCTTTCACTAGATATTTATACCTTGGACCAATCATTGATTTGCTGAGGACATGTTGGAGCAAAATATATAAATTGAAGTATCATGGCAGCGATTGACAATGACTTACTAGGAGTCATAATGGACATTTGTGATTAAATATGGATACTAAGTGTAAATTTATAGATCGGTGACAATTTCAAGAACAATTGTAAAATGTTGAAATCTAAGAAGGCTAATCTAAGAGATAGAGAATTATATTCAAGAAGAATCTAAATTATCAAATAAAATTCTTGTATTTTTAGTGTATTTTAGTCAATACCTTTTGCTATTGAATGCACTGTTTGAACTATAGACACTACACAAAAAAAATAATGTTCAATTCTTTATAGAATAGGTTGCCAATAGGGAGGTAGTATGACCTCTTACTCATACATGAGAAATCTTCATTTTAGTTGACTTCGATATAATTTCTACTTATTCAAAATAGAATATAGCATTCGCTTATGCTATACAGGTGTTTAATTAGCAGTAGGAAACAGGCGATTTTCACCGGTTGTTTTCACAAAATCGCCTGTTGTTTTTAGGGACTTTTCCATGTTGAATTTATGATTTCCATTAATTTTGCCTGTTTTCATTTATTTAGCGCCTGTTAGAAATTCTAGTGAACCCCTGCTATATGCATAAGGTGTCTATGATTTGATAAGTATCTCAATGTGGCTGCCTGTTTGTAAATGCAAAGCAGAATTGAACCAGTATAGCGTCATTGAACATTGTGAGCCTAAGAACCTGCCATGTGTAGAACAATATTTAAAACGCATTTCTTACTTAGATCTAAATGAGTTATTTCTGTGAAATATATATACAATCAAAAATTGTATGAATTATAATATTAAGCCTCTTTAATTATTCCCTAGTTCAATTGTGTTGTCATGAGTAAAAGTGTCACCATGGTTACAATTGTGTTTTGGTTATCAGAGGTCTCATTAAGTATCTTCATCTTGTCACATCTCCAAAACGCATGTGCTTCTTTAATGCAGTCATTAAAGTGGAATTCAATCCAGATCATGAACATGCCCAGTATTGAAGAAAGGCAAAGCCAATGTACCATAAAGAAGATATTCAATGCTGTAATGCTAATTGGGCAACATTTTCACAGTACAGTACAACATACAATCTGGATATTACAGGGTGTCCATAGTCTCTATAATACAGGCTTTGTATAGCAATTGTATGGAAATTTTATTGTCACCCTGTATATCTTTCTGAGCAATGCCTGGTTTTGCCCATATATGGATATTTGAGTTGTGTAGCATGGAATGTTAAAGATGTGACAATAACACTGTAGCCTCAGGTATCTGAACAACTAAAGTCTGTATATATTTAATAAGATAGCAATATTTTTATATAAAACAATGAAATGGCCTGTTTGTGTAGATAGATATTAGTAATCTGTGGGAAAAATGTTTCCTCTGTATATAAAACACACATTTAGATAGAATGTCGGATTTATTAAGAATATCAAGCTATAACTTCATTGTATCCCAAAAAATCATAAAATTTCTATTCCAGGGAATTCTTTTTGTCCAACGTTCCTAAATTCTGAGTGAATAATTTATTTATTGTTTTCATCAAAGTTAATGCTAATTCTTAGTAATAAAAACACTGAATTATGTACATAATTGATAACATGTATCATATGTGTAATAAGTACATGTATTTATAAAACTTGGAATAAATCACACTCCTACATTAACTATTGATTTTGAATCATATTCATTATTTCCTCACAATAGGCCCATTATTAAATCAAGTGGTAATCATGGATACAATTTAGAGAACAATGAATTAAGGAATTCCTAAATTGTCCTACCAAATAAAGGAATTTTCAATATGGCCATTCAATTCAAAATGGCCACCATTTCTCACAAAGAATATCCTCGATAACTCAAATACCAGTTGATGGATTTTGTTCAAAATTTATATGCTGACTCCTTGGTACATAAAGGCTCTGCAGAAAAAATTTGTTGAATTTCATGGGTGCCAATTTTAGTTAAAAATATCAGTGGACAGATTTGGGTCAAAACATGCTGATGTCTAGTGACAAACGATTTCTCAAGATATTTCCAAGATGGCCACTGAATTTCAAAATGGCTGCTATTTTTACAAAAATTAAATTTTGATAATTCAAATTTGGTTAAAATTTTATATGCAAATTCCCTAGGGTCATAGAAACTAATGACAAAGTTATTTTCAAGATGGATGCTCAGTTCAGAATGGCTGCGATTTTTTGTAAGTATTTAATCTATGATAACTCAAATACCAGTGTAGAGATTTGGTTCAAAGTTTACTACTTACATGCTGATGCATAGGGGCAAAGGAGCTCTAAGAGGTCTCGATGTAGTTATCAGAAAGGACAGAGATTTGTTTTATAGAATGAGCTTTTTCATGCATTTCGCTTGTGTTTTTCATCTAAAAAACCAATACATTTTAAAACATTTTATTGACTTTAAGATTGCACCATATAATCATAAAAATATTTCTCATTTTCAAAGATAAACTATGGATAAACAACCAGGTATTGTTAATTTTCAAAATTCAGATGGCTGGGAATTGTTATTACGATCACTTTTGAATAATATTAATGCTATTTTAAATAGGTTTCATGTTTGCCAATAATTTTTCAAATTGTGTAAATGGTACCCCTTCATGAATCCCAAGAATGTTCTCTTTGATGAATTTCCATTAGTAATCCCATGGTATGGTTCCACGCAGTTAAATTTGAAAATAGCTTTTTGTAAAAAGGTGAGTTTTGATAACAAAACTTTTGTAGATTCAAAGGATTTTTAGAGCAATCTTTACATTGTTAAAGTATGCTATTAAACCTACTGAATTCTATGCCATCTATTGACAGTCCTGAAGGCCATTTGTTTATTCTCACAAACTAGTCCCATTTTATCAGTCCACTCACTAATTACATTACTGTACTTAATATTAAAAAGTCATACTAATTTGTAATAATTACAACATTTGTATCAAATTAAGAAAATTAATATAGACTACTTAATAGGTCTACAATTTCTAAATGTTTTTCATTGCAATTTTGTAACTCTAGAAAAAGATTTTAATATACAAAAAAGAAAACATTCTAGAAACCCCATGATTTGGCTCATTTATATTAAAGGAACCAATAGAAGGATACAATAATTGATCCCCTTTTTGTATGTCTGCTTTTTGAAAACAGACAAATAGAGTGTAGATCCATTCTTCCTGGATAACTCGAAGACTAGTGGACAGATTTTCTTCATATTTGATGGTAAGATGTATATTGGTGAATAGTTGTATGCAACAAAAAATATTTTCAAGATGTTTGTCGCTTTAAAAATGGTGGGATTTTTTCGTGAAAATCTTAATTTTTCATTTTGAACCAAAGTAATAAATCTTATTGTTTGAAATTTTGGTAGTGTATTCACAACATCCATCTTAAATGGTCACCCAAATGCGTTTAAAATTGGTAGAAATTCTGATATATCTCTAATGTTTCCAATGTTTATATTTTTTTGTGTGAGGAAGACAGATTCATATATGTTATAATGTTTGTTGGGATTTGCTACTCCATGGAGTAGCCGTTTTCTAGTTTTAGTTCAACGTTTAGGCCGCACGAACATAGTCTCATACATATCCACAACCTAATCCACTCACTAAGTACAATACTAATGGTTAAAATTTAAACATAATGTTTTATACCTGAAGAAACCTGTTTTCTAATTTCATGTAATTTCAGGATAGCCTGATCCACTGATTTACAACACTCTGATTTACAAATACTTCTTAAGCTTACAAAATACAAATTAATTACCCTCTGTAAAGACAAAAGGTGCATGGTCCTTTATCAGTTGTAACATTTTCAAAATTTTGTATGATATTACTAAACTCTTGGAGGCACATGGCACAAATATTGTGAATAACTGGTGGAAATTTGAAAAAATTAGATGAAAATTTATAACAGTTAGCAATGGTTAAATACATTGTCTCACAAACTCACTTTTCCATTAAATTACGTCATCAATTACATTAATTGCTATTATACAGTGTAATAATATAATACATTTTCCTCTAAGCCTAGGATATCATTTTCCATATTTTATATTCTTCATACCAATGTAAAGCCCATTTCAAACTGGTCATAACTGACAGGGTTTGAAAAAAACATTGACACACTGACAGAAAATTATGAAAGTGCCAAAACCCGTCTAAATCATGATTTTTAGACAATTTTAGCCTTAAATAGCAGCGTAATTAGGAATAGGATGTAACCATTCTGCTCAATAAACACATTTATATATCACATCTGACATAAAAGGTATGCATAAGCTAAGTATAGGATGTATAACATATTTATGGGTCATTGAGAAAGATCAAGGGTTATAATTATCTTACAATATCCAGTTTACTGTAACATATGTCACCCCTACCCCTAAGGAGTGTTATCGATATAATGAACTTTTTGAACACGCATTTCTCTTAAACCAAACATCAAAACATTTTGAAAATTTTACTCATCGTCAATTTAATGGTCATCTTTTGGATGGTAACATTATATTAGTAGTTTGAAATATATACATATTTTTCTTAATATTGTTTTAGAAAACACATCAGACACTTCTTTTGTTCTTGGTATCATATGTTCGGAATGAAATGAAACATCTATCCGAACCTCATTGGAAAACAAAACGACGTAAACACAACGTGTTTAGGTCTTTCAATATTGTAATTGTACAAAGGAAAAATTTGGTTGATTTTAAAAAAGTATCTTGTTAATGAAATAAAAGGTTTATCTTAATTTTTATCTATTTTGGGAGGTTTTGTTTTAAGTTTTTGCATACTTTTTGTTAAATCAAACAAAATGTCCTTTGTATAACTATAATATTGAGAGGCCTGTAAAAAAATAAATAAAAATAAAATGAATATTGAGAGGCCTAAGAAAATGTTGTTTATGCTATTTTGTTCCAAAAGGTTCGGAAAGACATTTTATTTAATTCTCAAGAATTGGTAGACAGGAACAAAAAGCAATTGCACTAAAAAACAAAAAGTGTTAACAAAAACAGTTATATAAAATATATAAAGATAACTTTTGCATTAAATTGTTGCCAATCAGTTACATAAAGGACCGTGTTTTTTACAAAATGTTTTCAATAATTGGTTTAAGAGGAAAACATTGTTGAATTCAGTTCACCATATTCTTGGTATTATGTTTCCAGAGGGAAATGAAACATCTTTCCGAACCTCATTGGAACAAAACGACATAAACAAAACGTGTTTAGGTCTTTCAATATTGTAATTGTACAAAGGAAATTTTGGTTGATTTTAAAAAAGTATCTTGTTAATGAAATTAAAGGTTTATCTTGACTTTTATCTATTTTGAGGGGATTTTGTTTTAAGTTTTTGAATACTATTTTTAAAATCAACCAAAAATTCCTTTGTACGTATAACTATAATATTGAGAGGTCTAAAAACATTTTGTATATGCTACTTTGTTCCAACAAGGTTCGGAAAGACATTTTATTTCATTCTCAAGAATTGGTAGAAAGGAGAAAAAACAATTGCAATAAAAGAACAAAAAATGTTAACAAAAACAGTTATATAAAATATTTCTAAATAATTTTAGCATTAAATTGTTGTCAATCAGTCAACATTACATAAAATACCGTGTTTTTTACAAAATGTTTTCAATAATTGGTTTAAGAGGAAAACATTGGTGAATTCAGTTCACCATATCGATACCTATCCTTTTGAACTGAGAAGAGACCTCTGGATCTGAAGGATATAACCTTAAATTTTATCCCAAAATGGTTGCAATTAATTGGACTTTCATTATATAACTGATATTTTTCATAAAGTTTTATTGGATTGAAAACTTTTTAAAATGGTGTATTCCTCTAAAGGTTTACTAACAATTTAACCTCATGTCTCAGAAGATCCCCTATTTGAGCATATTGTTGGGTATAGGATTTCTCAAATTTATGACGTCAATTTATGGATAAAAGTCACACTCACAATTTTGGGAGTCATTCTTTTCGATCCTTTCTAACTTTTTATCATATTTACGAAAATTCTTTGAAATTTTCTCCATTTGGCCACAGTATACATACATTATACTTCTGAATGTTTGGTATGATAATAATGAAAATTAAAGATATGATTGGTAAAAGGGCAATGCACCTTTTTTTCTTTACAGAGGGTATATATAAATATAAATATATATATATATATAGTTGCCTGAAGATTTGAAGAAACTAGTTGCAACGAAATGAAGTCATCTTGTGTTTTTATTTAAATTTTATTATAAATATAAATATATATATATAAATGTGACTCCAAAATGTGTATCAAATTAAGAAGATTAATGTAGGTTACTAAAAGAAATCTTCATTTTTTCATATGTCTATTAGTTTAATTCTGTAACCCTAAAAAATAATTTAAGAAACAAAAAAGATGAATCTAGAAAACCAATGATTTGGCACATGTCTAGTGAACAAACATATTGACTCCATTAATTAATGAACATTATCTTTGAAAAATTTTTGTATGTCTGTACACAGAGAACAGACACTCAATCCTCCTTGCCCTCCACCAATATGAACATCTTTTCTGACGTTACGAATTACGCGAACTTCATACCTTGCAAGTGAATCACGATTCTCACATTGTGGCCGTGAAATCTTTAGTCACACACCACCATTACCTTGCTCTCGAACATATTTCTCGACTTGCACACAGAGATCTGTACTCACTAAAACACTTGTACAAGTGGTTTGCGAGGTGTGCCACTGTTTTAAAAGTGATTCCAATAAATAAATAAAAAACCAAGAAAGGCTGAGAAAGGGGTCATTAAGTGCAGTGGCCTCATTATGCTACAAAATGCTTCAGAATTTTTGTTTTCAGTCGAGATTTGATATTTGAAAATAATGTTGAGGTCCAATATACCCTTGGGAAGCTGAAAGGGTCAGCTTTAAGAATCTGACCTAAATTTGAATCTTTAGTGAATGCAAACATAGATAGATATTAACCCTTTCATCCCTAAGGGGTCATTTATTATAATTTTATGAAAATCAATTTCAAAATGACAAATACCCCTATGATCAAAATGGATTATTTTTAAGTATACAATAACTATTCAATGTCAAATTATACTTTGGAGAACATTCAAGAGTTTGAAACCAGATAGGCTGAGATAGGGGTTATTAAGTGCAGTGACCCCATAATGCTCACATTTTGTTTTCAGTAGGAATTAGATTTGATAGTTGAAAATATTATGAACTTTAATGTGTAATTTGGGTATTTATTTATTTTTATTTATTTCCTAAATTCCAAATAATACAAATACAATCACAACAGTGGAAGACACCCCAAGGGGCATATGATCCACTTTATATTAAAGATGCATTATGCCATACGTTTCTCCCCCAGACAATCAATGATGTCATATTGTTATTGCTCATATAATATCTCACATACCATGGATATATCTTGAGAATAACTTTTGGGTATATTATTGCCGAAATATCGGAAAAAATCAACAGAACAACCAAACTCCAGACTTAAATAGTCGATTCCTCAGCTAGGGAGGGGAATCCCCACTGAGTCACACAAGCGCCCACAAGCACCTTGAACCAGGCAGCCAATCAGATTTTTGATAAACAAATTCAACAACCAATCAGATAACAGGACTTTCCCGGTATATTCAAACTTCAGATTGAATTAATCTCTTTGAAAATAATTAGATCAGCCAGCACAATCGCAAAATTAACACTGAAAGAGGGGGCTTTGGGACTCTTCTTTGGTAAGTAGATGGGTATATATGTGGTGAAACTCAATATGCAAAAAAGTCTAGGGGGGTCTTGATTGTGCATATTTACAAGTAGCAAAACTCATACAAGAAATCAGTGTTTAGGAATGTAGAATACAAATTGCTAATTTTCTTAAAGAATATTAAAGGTGCAAAATATATTTAATATATATTTAAGGATATTTCATCAAGACTTACATCTATTTTTATTATCTACATGTACAAAGAAACCCCTTAGGCCCTAGAGGCCCCTAGATAAACATTATTTCAGCTGATATTCCTCTTGAAACATGGTGGATCTTTAAACTATTTTTGAAGCTTTGAACTGAATTTACACTTCTTGAAGCTAAAATTGATAGTTTAACCATACATTTTAAACCATACATTTTAAGAAAATAGATATGTCAAAGAAGATGTTAAGCCAAATGTTGCCTTGATAGCTCAGAAAAAGTAAAAGAAATTATATTTTCTCTCTACAGGCCTTTTTTCTCCTTTAAGATTGCAGTGTATTGGCTTAACATGACAATATGCACCTATATCATCATATCCCTTTGACCCTTATAATTATATTTTTAAATATACCAAAGGAGCACTACACACAATCTAAACAAGTGGTATGGGTGATTAACTACATATATAAGTGCAATCCATCAAGCCAAATATTGGACCTTGACCAATTTACATCTTTGTTACCATTTTCAAAAAGGATCACTGGAAATTTTGTCACTTCTGGTTAGTTTTTACTAAATCTTAAAAGTATAAGGTTGATAATCAGAACATAAAACTCCTAAACTGGCTCAGGGGAGTTGCTTCAATAATAGATTACAGAATATAGTAGTGTAACAGGAATAGGTGTAACACTATGTATGTTGTTTAAGTGTATATGGAAGTTGTGGCATCAGAGCAATATCCAAGCCCTAGTGTTCGCCAAATTAAATAGCCACCAATATGCCATAAATGGCAAAATGAACCAAATCTACAGTTATCGAGAGATTTCATAACTCACTTTTAGCATGTTTATTATTCCTGTATAACTTAAGCGTTTGAATCTCTCAATTATTATGCAGGTCTATACATCCATATGTTAGATATTGCTATGTACAGACAACGATTTATAAGAATATCACACTTATGGAGGTGTAGAGCTGAGGAATATACGATGACATAATCAAACGCTTCATAAGTTAAATGTTATACGTGAATAATAAACATGCTATAAGTGAGTTGTGAAATCTCTCTAATATATCAGAGAATATGTAGTAGAACTCACTGTCTGAGAGAGACCAGAGACCATGGCCATTTTTGAACACATTGTAAATGGTAACAAATAACACATCTTACTAATATATAATTTATTTATTTTATTCATACTATTTTTAACATTAATACACAAGTAGTAGTTTTATTATTTGATTATATTCCATATTTTACCCCCAAAAAATAAAGTTATATTAATTAAGTTGATAAGAATTAAACAAATCATATCCAATAAATGTTTTTCTCACACATCTAAATGCTGCTCCTAGGCCCCCTTGGTAATCTAAATGTAATATGTTTTTTCTGCGATACAAAAAAATATATTCTGAGATATTCTTAATTTGGAAAAAGTAGGTCAAACATGACATATTGCCGACATATTATCGTACATGTATTTTAAATGTAGGTGCACTAAATTACAAAAATGCAGAGAATATTGCAATAGGTTACAAAAGATAAATCGTATTGGCATAATATAGAGACATTTGATGTAACTTAATCATTATGCACACAAGCACCTTGTGCCTAAATATGGAATTTTTACAAGCATCAAAATTATTGCCAATGCATGTTTAAAATAGCTACATCAATAACATAGTGGTATGTTACATTTTTGGTCCACAATTACGAAAAGGACTTGTTTTGCTGTATCTTCAGTCTTTTCCATTATTCTGCTTATTCATACCAAATTAAAATGTTACAAGAGCTTTTCAATCACTCTTTGGCATTATCTTCAATTAAACAGTTAAACCGACTGTTCACCAAAACACCATCAGATTAAACAAGACATCTAACATAAAAAACTTGCACGGGTTTAGTCATGATCTTGTACAACTTCAATTTAACAGTTTAGTTGAAAAAATGTATAAATAAATATTTTCTGAATATTTTGGTGAGTTCCACTTCATGCTTGGCTAATCCCATGAACTTGAAAACTTGAAAGTGCATTGCTTTATAAACACAATTATAAATCAATAATAATGGATTGAGAATGTGTATCTGATAATTTATATAAGGATATTTTATATCTCAATATATATCTTGTACATTAATCACAAAACATTTCACACTGTCTTGTTATAAATAGCCAACCACATCATCCAATGACTTGGTTTTACCACTAGATTAAAGTTTTCGCATCATATTATTTGAAAACATTGTTCAGTACTGTACACATAAATACAAGTGTTTCTACATTACGATAATTCATTTTTCTTTTGTGTTATATCTAGTTGTAATAACACTAATATACATGTATCCTAAATTACATTGCTATTTCAATATCCAAGGTGATAATCTGTGATTTCTATTGTTTATAGTCCCAATTTATATATAATTCATGATTTTTGTTTTTATGCAACTGAAGCCATATACGGGTTCTTTCCTCCATTGTGACATCATCAGTCCAGTTCGTCATTCTCAATTCGGTGTAACTTCTAGTGTAACCCAATCAACCGTGTGCATACACATATTTAAAATCTCCTAATATGGTCACATTTAATCCACTTTGGGCTTAGCCTGAGCGAGTCGTGGTCGATCAACAAACTCATTGCCAAAAAGATACATGGCTCCCAGGCTTACAATGCTAGCTGTACTCCAGAATAACACATACATGATCTGCTCGCTGGGGTGCTCTGAAAAAGTAAACAAAATCATTGTATTTCTTAATAATTCACTTAACTTTCTAAAAATATGCTTACTGCTAGTGAGCCATAAAACCACTAGTCTATGAAACCATAGCTTCCTTGTGGTCACATTTGCTCCGATTTTCAGTACCGGGACCTGGCTGATGAGTATTTTGTTCAAAATTGCATTCAGTTTGAACAAAATACTCATCAGCCAGGCAACAGTGATGAAGATTGGAGCAAATGTAACCACAGCATAAGAGTGCATTTAAAAAGTAACTTTTGCTTAAAGTTCTCCAAAGGTACTCTCAAATCATTTGTTGATATAACATTTGGTAAGTTAAAAAGATGTCTCTGCCAGTACTTACCATCAGGGATGAGGATACTGATGACACACATGGAGAATGCGATCAGGAATATCACTGGGAACTGAAAAACAGAACACAATATTCATAATTATGTATGCATAAATATGCAAGCAGAAATAAGAGAGTTATCCTTTGCATTCGTTAGACTTCACTTCGCTAGACTCTGCGCACAGGGTATCAGGGAGTGAGAAGGGAGGGGGTTGGTCATGATGAATCACATAATAAAAAATGCAATGTTGGATAGATATACAGGGTGTCCACAAAGCCTCTTCAATTACAATGCAAACTCTGTGTAAAGTGTAAATTGACTTTACGGACACCCTATACAGTACATGTATAGAGAGGTGATGAAAATGAGTCTATCAATCTAAAAAACAATTAAAGGACCAACGTGTAATGTCATATGAAAATACATGGATATATTAGGAACAAAACATTGGTTATTTTGAATGGATATACTTTATGTAAACGATTCAGAACATTTTCCCCTTAAATAAAGTGAGATTCTCAAAGATCCCGATGTCACAAGGTGACAAGTAATCTATAATCTGATACTGTTAGACAATTTTTCATGTACATGTCTCTTTAATATCTTGAAATAGGTGATCATTTCAATTATTTTTGAGCAAAATAAGTTTTCTGATCTATGAACCGTAATTTCAGAAGAGATCTGAACACAAAAAGGTTATACAAAGGAGGTAAATACAGATTTCTATTCAACCCATTTAAATGTGAAAGCATGGGTCTATTCAACATGGGTCAACATGTGCTTCAAGGTTTCCCTTTTAATCCTATAAGGAGCCTTCTACAGTATGTAGTATAATGAGGTTTATCAGGGGATATGGCAATAGTCCAAACAACGTATTGATCATAAATAATTTCAAATACATCATTCAAAGGTCTTTTTCGTTAAAACATAAAAAGAAACTACATAAAAAGAAAACTGTAAGAGGCCGAGTTCATGCAGTTGCTGTAAATGTATGTCTAAGTACCAGTACTTGTAAAATGATATATAAGAATACATTTGTTGTATTAAAGATCAATACTCTGTGGCAGTGGCTTACTGCCATAAACAACTTAACAACTAAAGGTAAGCAACACTTTTCATTGAATCCAACTACTGGCTGCCGTTTTCTTGATTTCAACCTGTCTGATGTTTATATCATCTCTGCCTTGATAGAAAGGAATAGATGTGATACAAAGCTGTGATCTCGCTCAATGATTGTAACATATCTTTTTAGTTGTTCAACATGGAGGCATCTTAGTATTACACCTGTAATATGGCATTGTGGAATTCATAGTAGTAAAGGTATCCTGATCATGATTAGAGTTGCACAGAAGGTTTAATTCATCCCTTCGCTACAGTGTATTTTGACAAAAAAAGCTTTGTAACAAAGGATTTTTGTAGTGTTTCACAGACAGTTCTTTGTTACAAAACTTTTTGTCAAAATGCTTTACAAAGAAGCGATTAAACCATGCTGTTTAGATCCTAGATGTCTACCTGTAACTGCACAGTCAAGGCCAAGGGAGATACTTCAATTGCAATTCAATTACATTTCCAAGAGAATGTGCTTAAGACTTTTTATACACTTCATGCCTTAACTATCCCAACAATATTTCTTATTCCTAATGATATGAAATTTAATACACGACTTGAACATAAATGCTATTGATTTGGGATGAGCTAGCTAGATTTGTAATTTTAATTGTGATTGTTTTGGGTTGATTGGTTTCAGTTTGGTGTCTATACCTTCCAACCAGGGAATCACTGAAGTTCTAGTTTTGCAAAAGACTATGCTTCCTACAATACTCCTGATATGCACCTTGCTGACATGGAGTACTGCAGCTTCAGAGGACAAACCAAACAGACCAAACATCATTCTGATTCTAGCTGATGATCTTGGCTGGAATGATGTCAGCTTCCATGGTTCTAATCAGATCCCAACACCAAACATAGATGCACTTGCCTACAGTGGTATAATATTGAATAACTATTATGTACAGCCAATATGTACACCGACCAGGAGTGCGTTACTTACTGGGAGATATCCTATACACACTGGGCTACAGCATGGTGTAATTATAGGTTCTCAACCTTATGGATTAGGCCTCGATGAAACCATTATACCACAGTATCTCCACTCAAAGGGCTACAAAAGTCATATCGTCGGGAAATGGCATCTTGGGTTCTGTTCGTGGGAGTACACCCCGACATATCGTGGATTTGATTCCCATTATGGATACTTCCTGGGGGAGGAGGATTACTGGGATCACACTTCCTGGTCCGGGGGAGAAGCACTAAAAGGTTTGGATTTTAGGCGCAATAAGGAACTTATAAAAAATGAACTTGGGGAATATTCTACTGAGCTTTTCACACGTGAAGCTGAATCAATCATCAATGGGCATAATACAAGTCAGCCTTTATTTATGTATTTACCCCATCAAGCAGTTCACAGTGCTAACCATGTTACACCCCTTGAAGCCCCGAAAAAGTATACAGACAGACTCAGCAATATCAAAAATGAAAATAGACGATTATTTGGAGGAATGGTATCGGCACTGGATGACTCTATTGGTAATGTAACGATGGCTTTACATAAGCGAGGAATGCTTAACAATACCATTATTATTTTCTCAACAGATAACGGGGGTCCTTCAAATGGTTTCAATATGAATGCTGCATCAAATTGGCCACTTAGGGGGACCAAGCATCAGCTTTGGGAGGGTGGTGTCCGTGGGGCAGGGTTCGCCTGGAGCCCCCTGTTCAAAAAGCAGGGGTACGTCTCTGAGCAATTACTTCATGTAACTGACTGGCTACCTACAATACTTCACGCTGCAGGTGTAAATTCAGATACAAACACTAAGAAACCCATAGATGGCACTGATCAATTTGACACACTTTCCAACAATGCGGCATCTGCTCGGAATGAGATACTTTTAAACATTGACCCTATTGAGAATACCTTTGCTATTAAAGTAGGTGACTACAAGGTTATATCTGGTGAGATCTATAATGGTACATGGAGTGGATGGTACCCACCCTATCAGCAACCAAGTGAAGGTCACGATGTTGAACCTTTTAACTCATTGACATACAACAACAAAAAAGATAGTGAATTTGTGGTTACCATAGAACAACACAACAATGACATGGAGCAATTTAGTGATAACATATGGCGACCAAGTGATAACAGTAGACAGACAAATGATAACATCGGACAACCAAATGATAACATTAGACAACCAAATGATAACATCGGACAACCAAATGATCTTGGCAACATTCTGGCTCAGTATGCAAACCTTCCTGTGAGAAAACCTTCCCAAGTTAGAGTCAACTGTGGTCCCAAACCAAGCAATGCCTCAACAAACTGTAAACCTGCGATTGCCCCATGTCTGTACAACCTTGCTGTTGATCCATGTGAATACAACAACATAGCAGAGAGTCATCCAGACATTCTGAAACAACTTCTAGCAAAGATTGCAGTTTATAAGGCCAATATGGTGGCACCAAAGAACAGAGCTGAAGACCCAGCTGGGTTTCCATCAAAACATGACTGGGCTTGGGTGCCATGGCTCAATCTCACTAACAGCTAGAATACAAGATAAAAACTAGGTTGTTTTTAAAGTAATCATTCAGGCCAAAAACCAAAATTAAGAAAATGCTATTAAATCCACATTCAAATAAAGTACAGTAAATAAAGTTCCTTTTATACCCATAAAATCTTGATGTGTTGTATTGTACAATATTTGAATCGAATGATGTGAGTTGAACAAATTGGGGAAAAAAAATAAAGATATTTAAAACTCAAATGCACAATTCTATCTCCACTCTTTGGCATTAATCCTATCAGACTACATAGTCGGAAAAATTATGTAACTAACATTTATTTCACATTCAATCTCTACTCTCAGTTTGGTTTTATCCCTTGTTATGTCCCCACCACATAGTGTGGGGCCATATTGTCGTCCTCGGTGCGTCCGTCCGTCTGTTTGTCTGTCTGTCTGTCCGTCCGTCCAGCAGTTTTCTCCAAAACCGCTACAGATATCATATCACCTTCAAATTTTCAGGGATAACTTATAAGTGCTTACAGATGTGGATGAAAAAAGTTTAACTCGATACCTACTTCCTGTAGACCATTTTGAAGTCAAATGCTAAAATCCTTGTCTGCAAACTTTAAGAAAAACAGCTTCAGAGTTGCTTTTAAAACTTTAATATCTTGTTCAGCTTACTTCATTCTACATCTGATTAGGTTTTGGACCTGTTAGCTCAGTCATGTCAGCCATTTTGAATGTCTTAAGAAAAGTTAGCGCGTGATAATACTTTGTATCATATTGAATGGTGTTTTTGAGTTTTCATACTTTAACTATTTAGTAGCTTTATAAATAATTTCAGGTGTACTTTGTTGTAAAAGCCTATGTTATTGTTAACAGTGGTTATTTGTGACAATTTTGTAAAAGGAAATCGGCAAAAACTCATAATCGCTTTTTTATTGTCGGCCATTTTGGATTTTTCTGTCCTAAAATCTTGTCTGTTAAGTCTTGTCTACGCGTTTTCAGGTGAACCGTTTAGTAGATCAATTTCAAATTTTCAGGGATGATTCTAAATATGAAAATCTAGATCTGATTAGTTTTTGGGCATTCTGGGTAAATATCAAGGCAGCCATTTTGGATTTTCCGTCTTAAAAATCGTGTCTGTAAAGTCTTGGCTACGCATTTCCAGGTGAACCATTTAGTAGATCAATTGATTCTTAGTATGAAAATCTAGATCTGATTAGTTTTTTGGCATTCAGGGTAAATGTCAAGGCAGCCATTTTGGATTTTCCGTCTTAAAATCTTGTCTGTAAAGTCTTGTCTACGCATTTCCAAGTGAACCGTTTGGTAGATCAATTTCAAATTTTCAAGGATGATTCTTAGTATTAAAATCTTGAACTGATTAGTTTTTTGACATTCTGGGTAAATGTCAAGGCAGTCATTAGGGATTTTCCATTCTAAAATCTTGTCTGTAAAGTTTTGTTTACATGTTTTCTGGTTAACTGTTTGATGGATGAATTTCAAATTTTCAGGAGTGGTTCATAGTATGAAAATCTCGAACTAACTAATTTTTGGGCATTCTGGGTAAATTTTTATGGTGGCCATTTTGGATTTTCCGTCCTCAAATTGTGTTGGTAAAGTCTTGTCTACTTATTTTCAGGATAACCATTCGATGGGATCACCCATTGGTGGGGACATTTTGTACATATTTGTAATTGTTTGTTACACTCAGAGGGAAGTGATACTTGCCTATGAGAAGTTATATAAATGTGCCAAGTAATTTAGAAGAACCAGTGCATGAATTTGGTGTTTATCTTACTCTGTATATATATTTTCACTGAATTACATGTAAATTAAACATTTGTTAATAATTTATATTTTGATACAAGTTACATCATATTTAGCAACAATACATCATACTTTGAATATAGTCTACATAAATATAAGTGATATATGATGGTCAGGTTCTTACCTTCAAAACCCCATCAAGTAACAACCCTACCCCCTGACGACTCTTTATTCTTTGGGTAAACTTCGATCATAATTCTTTTAATTTTTGAAAACTTAGATTTCATGGATGTATATTTAAAAAGGGCAAAATGCGGATAGTTGACAAAGGTGGCAGTTGAACTTGAAGTCAGAAACAGCAGCTATGATCAGTTTCATATCAGCGGTTCATAGATTAAAAATAAACCTAATATAGCTGTTGTTTTGATATGGATATAGCATGATATAATTAAGTTATACGGACACGGATACCATAGGTGAGTGAGATAAATTGCACGGTCCTGATTGTTGTCCACAAAATACACCCCTTCTTTGAGCTTCCGCTGAACAATATATGAATGTAAAACTATAGTTTCTTTTAATTTAATCCTTATTTAATGAAATACTACCTGTGACACATTAATTTCAAGTTTATCTAGTGTTAATCTATAAATCAATGGCTGAAATGGCTTTTTTGCAAGTAAGTAGGAATTTTTGCCATTTATGCAACTTTATGCGCTGGTGTATGGATTATGCGGGCAAGGGTAAATTATGCAGAATTATCCCGTGGGCTCAAAAACGCATAAAACTGAGGAACAGCTGGTTAGAACATGCAATTATTGCTGATTTATAGTTCCTAAACTAGAAATCGGCAACTTCACGGAGTAGCCAATCCCAACGAACACTGTATTAATGAATCTGTACATGTCATAATGTAATATTTCCCATCTACTCTACCCTTGATTAAATTGGCAGAATGCTATGGAGATATATCAGAATTTAACCATATTTTGAGGAGATCTCAAAAGTAATAGCAGGGGGGATTAATCCCAGAGTTCAAAGATGACGTACGCTTATAATGTAAACCTGTATTGAGATGATGTACACCTGTGATTGGTCCAAATCGATAAACAAAAATGGCAGATTCAAAATTTTCTAATAATGCTTCGAATAATATTATGTTAATTCCTGGCGTGTTAACCAATATAATAGCTTGTTATTTCACATCAAGATAAAGAAATATGTAAGGAGCATGCTTACATCAATAAAACCATCATGATGACGGTTACATTCGAAAACCAAAGGGTGAGAATTTGCGCGAACGAAGGTGGTACGCAAGAGACTTAATAAGTCAGTCATCGCTAAAGCTCTGGGGGTTCCCCCCTCTGAAGTAATAGCGAATTCCTACTCTAGGCAGCCATTTTGAAATTTCTGAGGAACAAATCAGAAAAACATAAACAATAATTGTGTATACATGTACTCTAGAATTCCTTCAATTTGAGTATAATGGGGCCATACTTTGAAGAGATCACAAAATTATTGCGAAATCCCACATTAGGCAGCTATTTTGAATTTTATAAGGCCCGAATCTGAAAAACAATATAATATTTGCAATCTACTCTCAATTGCCTTTCATTTGAGTATAATAAAGCTATACTTCAGAGAAATCTCAAAATTAACGAATTTTTTTGCGGAAAACCATTCACCAATACACAACTTTCACCAAGCATGAACAAAAATCTGTCAACTAGTATTCGAATTATCTTCTGGACAGAGTGACAGACAGACGGATGGATGGATGGATGGATGGATGGATGGATGGATGGATGGACAGAGGGCTTCACAATATCCCTACTGAACTTCGTTCGTTGGAATTATCAACAATCAAAATACTCAGGAAATAAAGTTGCTT